CTTCAGATGGTGGGGTAGGCTACACTGCCTGCTTGTACAACCTTTTCAAAACTGAGAGGTATAGATCAACCAACCAGTCTGCTGCCTAAACAAATACTAGAATTAAGATTTCTTCTTGGTACTCCCAGTCTTCGAATGATTCTCTTAGCCCCTGTTCCAGTTGGCTCTGGGGTAGAAGGATATAATGCAAACCGTAACTCTTCCATCCCTTCTATAATTCAGTTTTCTCTTCTATGGACTAGGAAAATGTAATGGGATTTAGGTGATGACTGGGCTAAAGATAACCTGGTGGGGATGCCTTTTATTAAGTCTTGGGAGGACTGTCTGCCTTTGGTTTGTGTTTTTGTTTGCTTTTTTTTTTAAAGATACTTCTGAGACTTCTCCATCAGTTCTGGGGCAATAGAATAAATCTCATTCAGTATCTTATTACACATTGATTGGAAAGAGGAAATTTCTTCCATGTAATGGTGTTCAAAAAATACCAATTGAAAGCTTGCAGAACAGTGTGACTGGTCATTAGTGAAAGCATGGAATTAATGAGCAAGTAGGATGGCACAGAAATGTCCATTTCTCTCTATTGCTCCTTGGTAGGAAGGCCCTTGAGCTTTTGCTGAAGCAAATTGGGTTTCCTCAATGTGTGGAATTGGCAGCTTTCTAATGCCTGGAGTTGAAGTTTCACAGGATAAAATTCTTAATTTTGAAGGTCATAGCCATCTCAACAGACAGGTTGGAACATCATTCCAGGGGTTATTTCCCCCTTCCCCCCCCCGCTGCCTCTGCTTATGCTTTAATTGTTGCATAACAAATTACATTTGAGTCCTTTTTTTTTTCTTAGTATCCCATGAGATCAGCAGTCTATCCCAGTTCCATCCAGACCCCCGGTCACGTACTCTCACCTCTGCTTCCCACATGTGTCTGCCTGGAGCACCCTGTCCTGCTTGTTTGTTTAAATCTCTTCTTCAGTATACTTACAGATGTTAGCTCTTCTCAAAAGATTTTCTAGACTCATTCTGATACTGTCCACTCACTCTGTTCCCCACAGCACATTCTACATAACTCTGTGGGGCTTCTTACCATGTTCCTATAACCATCCCACTGGAGGTCTGGTTCTCTCTTGAATTCAGTCTCTTTCTTAATTTTTGTGTCAACTTTTCTCTTAATATTTCACCTTACTCTTAGTAGGATATAAAACATATAATGTACATTAATTAGTAAATATTGATTGATAAACTTTTCCTTTAATCCTTTAATTCTGAAAGGAAAGGGACCTTGTGAATTTTCCCTACTCTGACTTCATAGTAGGGATGCATTTTTTCTGAAGATAATTTAAGACTTCACAGAACTCACCAATGTGATATAGATGTGCTGACTTTGAAGTCCTCAGAGAGGCCTGGGGAGCCAGACATGCTTGACCATGGAGGTCAAAACTCTCCTTCATCCTCATCCTGATATGGCTTCTTACCTAATGTTGGAAGCAGCATTTTCTAGATTCCAGTTGGTTTTTTCCAGTCCTGTAGGGTAGGACCTCCATTCACTTCACTGGAAGTTGGAGAAGTCTGGAGGATCAACAGCAGGGTAGGCCTTTATCTCATTTCTGTCAGAAGCTTGTTAATTTGTTGTTGTTGATATCAAGGGGAAGTCGGTAACAAAATGCTTAAAGTTCCATGGACAAATACAGAACTAGATATTACCCCCTCATCCCAGCCAGAGTCTGCTAAGAATAAAGAATAGCATCATCCTGTCTTGGGCACTTAGTCACCTACTCTGACCTTTGTGTACTCTCACTTTATCTACCCCTGAGCAGGAGATTGTCAATACCTCTGGCCGCTTCTTCATTATCAACAAGGAAAATTACACTGAGCTGAGCATCATGAATCTTCAGATCACAGAAGACCCTGGCGAGTATGAATGTAATGCTACCAACTCCATTGGCACTACCTCCGTTGTCACCATCCTTAGGGTACGGAGCCACTTAGCCCCACTCTGGCCTTTCTTGGGAATTCTGGCTGAAATCATCATCCTTGTGGTGATCATTGTCGTGTATGAGAAGAGGAAGAGGCCAGATGAAGTTCCTGATGGTAAGAGCATCCCTACAAAATAGCTGTAATGTTGGGGGGTTGGTTCCTTGGGGTGGTTTCCAAGCACCTAAAGAGGACTATAAGGATGTTGGAATTCAATCCCAAAAGGAGAGAAGGAAAATTCTTATACTGGTTCCTTAACCCCACCCCCAAGATTTTTTGCATTTGCCACCCAGAGCTATAATTATTAGCTCTGTCCCTCCATTTGGGTGTTCTCCAAACCATAGTCCCATCTGCCCTTCAGGCCCCATGTGGGGAATGGGCAGCTGTCAGTCTCTTTGTTCAGCTCTATCCTCCTTCAATACAGATCATCAGGCAGATTGAGCTTGAGGAGAATCCAAGTCAAGCCTAGAAGCCACCCCAAGATCGCAGGCCACCTGGCCTTCCAGGCAGATTTAAGGTATCTAATTGGTTATCACATGGTTGCCTGGTGTAACCCCTGTAGGTAACTGCCCCAGCCCAGTCAGACTCCTCAGGAAAAGCCATTGGAACATGCCAGTCCTTGGTTCCCTTACTTGGTCTTTCTGATAGTTTTTCAAGGTTCTTGGTGAAGCCGGCACCCACTATTTGGCTTCTCTGTGTCTCACAGGCAAGAGTGGTGAAGGGCAAGTGATGTACCTGCAGTTCAAGACAGAAATGGCTAAGTAGTAACACCTGTTGTACATGCTCAGGTGACACCCCAAACTGGCCTAGAGTCTGACAAGGGGAGTGGATAGTAGCAGCAGAAATGCAGCAAATTGTTAAGTTTATAAAGAAAAAGAATCTTAGATCATTGAACCTGTTCAGAGTCAGAAAAGTCCTGGGAAATGTTTGCTTTGTTTTTTGGTCATCGATGTTCCATTTCTAGCCCTGTGGAGCTTATGATGGAGGCTTGTTATCAGTAGTACCTCAGATTCTAACTGACTCCCCAGCCCTGCTCTTTCACCCAGTGTAATTAACTTCAGCAGGAAAAACAAGTTAATCAGCTAACCATCACTGCCACGTGCCTGTCTCTGGCCAGACAAGAAGGGATGCACATAAACTCAGTGGAGGCCAACCTTGGGTGATGGTGTCTTGGGCCTGTGCACGGTGGTGCTGCCCTCTACTGCATAGACTTGTCTGTGTCCCTGCAGCTAACCAGCAGACCCACAGCACCTACCATGTGTCATGGAGAATGCACAGGGAGGCTGCTGCTCCCTCAGGAACAGCACAGCCCTGAAAGCTTCAGTGGCTTCAGACTCTGGGAGAACGTGTTTGAAAACAACACCCACTTCCCCTTCTTTTCCTTTCTTCTCAGCAGTTCCGAAGTCTTGTTGCTGGCACTAGCTAGAGGGAGGATTGTGGTGAGGCTGGGGGGACAGACTTTTTGTTGAAACTAACCTGGTAAACTTCTCTGCAAATGTGCAATCAGCAGTGAGCTAGATGGTGGGATCTGCTGGACATAGATGGGCCTCTGCGATATGAAGAGTGTCCCCCAAATTTTTACCTGCCTTCTCCTAGGTCACAGAACAGCTATTTTGTGACATGAAACTGCTTCCTGGGGGGTTTCATATATCCCTAATGTATTTTTCTCTAAGACCTTTCTCTTTTCTGCTATATACTAGGACTTCCAGAGCACCTTTATTTAGATTTGAGAATAAGGGTGAGAGTTGCTGTCTCTTGTGTTTTCTGGGGGGGACCAGTTAAGTCTCACTGCTGAAAAAAGGCTTTCTCATCCCCCCACAGAAATTTGCTTTTCCTTTGCTGAATATCATCTTTCTTAGCCTGCCCGTTGGAAATGTTGGGAATCAAAAAACCAGATAGGAAAAGGCAAAACCAGAATTTCAATGAAAAGATAAGCCTGGCTGCCACTCTTGTGACAGAACGAAACACTGACTTAGCATGTCCCTGTTAAGAGGTTCCTTGTGGGAAGCCACTTCATTTACCAGGTTACTATCCTAGTGTGTGAAAGAAAACCTTTGGGTTAGATGTGAGAAATGGTTAGTGTTGGTTATCTGACAAGTGGAGACACCTGCCCAGTTGCCTGGGCTGCTATCCTTTTTTTTTAAGAGTTCCATGGCTTTTGGATTTAAATGTGAACCAGTTTGTTAGAGGAGACTTCTGGCCAGCAAATCTTCTGAACAGTTTCCTGGAAGGAAAATATCTCTTTTAAGCTAAATTGTTATAGACAGTGAATGAATCCTACATAAAGGAAATGCCTGCAGGGTAAGTGCAAAGTAAAAATCTCTTTGCTCTAGTCTCTTGGAAGAATACTGTAATGCAAGCAGCTTTGGCCTTTTGTTGTTGTTGGATTGGGTGCAAAATTTGGGTTGCTATATTATCACAATGTGTGCATTCTCTCTGCTCCCTTTCCGACAGCCAGTGGGGCCCAGGTTCCATACATCATCTCCACATCCCCGCCGTCACTTGAGCATTTCCTGCCCAGTTTTCTCCTGTCTATTTCCTTCTGTCAAACGTATCTCTGTTCCCTTCCCCCCTTTTCTGCTCCTTTCCTGGACGTAATCATTAAAAAAAATAAGGCTGATTATCCTTCATGGCTTTTTCTCCTCCAGCCAGTTTTTCCTCAGCGCCTAGTAATTTTCATAGAAAGAACCAGTTCTGCTCATATGTGTTATTTCCATATTCCCAGCCCCAAATTTATCCCCATTTACATATGCTTTCCTTTTAGGCCTGGAGTTTTATATGATGAATCTTTACTATCAGATAACTGTGCAGCTTTGTGTTGACTAATTTATACCATTATGAAAGTGAATTTTTATAGGCCTAACTTGCGTTTTCTCTGCCAAATTGGTATTTTATTATCAAGATATAACTATATTTTTTTCTGACTCACTGAATTTTTTGTATGGAAAAAAATTCATATAAACCTGATAATATTCATATTTGGGCAATCTGTGTTTTCTTGGTAACAGTCTCTTGCTAGAAAAAAACACTTAAGTGAACACTGCCGAAGTGTAAAGACACACAAATTTGAATTTATAGAATTCAGCCTGCATATGTTTTACTAGAAAAACATTACTTTAGATTTCTCACATAGAAAATATTTAGGGTTATGGTTTAGCTATTTCCAGGAAAAAAAAAAAAAGCCTATGTCTTTTTGTCTCTGAGAATATATTCAGGACATTTCATAGGTGAAACTCATGTCTACCTCCCACTAGGCTTCTCTTCTGGTCTCTGAACCAATAGGTTGACTTGCAGGTAGATTAACTGCCTTTCACCTTTGGTGTTTGCAGAACAGGCAAGTCATGGAGCCAAGTAAGAGCTTCAGTTTTTCACTTTATTCACCTCTTATCTACAGTCTCTGAAAAAGTTTAATAATTCACTAAAAACTAGGTCCAGCTAGCGTCCCTCTTGCCTCTGGACTTGGAATATAACTGTTAGTTCCCCACATATGCTTTCATGGCACGGCACCCCTCTGCAATTCCTGGAGATGGCCAGCAGACCTGTTCAGTTGCTGGGACCTTCAGTTCCACTGGATATTTTAGTAACCTCAGGTTAAAACAATAGGAATGGACTTAAGAAATGCTGGCATCATTTACCATTTTCACTTCTGGGGCATAATTTTTATATGCAAGTCAAAGCAACTCTTAATAAGGGAGATTTTTGACTTTTCGTGGGGATCAGTTTTAGTGACTCATAGTTCTAAAATGTCTAGTTTGGATATAAGAGTTAACTGTAATGTCCCACTACCTATTAGCTGGTGAAACATTTGGTAGCATATGAAGCTTTATAACAGGCCAGGCATGTTGGGTAGAAATGTGACTTTTTAAGATGACACGCAAAATAATTCGTTGTCTTCTTAACTAAAGGTCACCTGGGTCCACAAGTCACCTTATGGAGAAAAGACAATAGGTCCAGACAAGGAAGGAAACTGGAAGTAACTGTAATCTCTTTCGGGTTTAATGGTACTCTGCTGAGATCAGGCAAACTTTAAGTGGAATAAACCCTTTCTCAGTGAGATGAAGACAATGGAAACGGAGTTTTGACCAGTCAGTCAGCTCTTGGTCAAAGCTCTTGGTCATTTTGACTTGAAAGCCATCTTTTGGGAGGTGATACTGTATCAGGTAATCTGTTAATTACCGGGCATCTAAAGCGCCTTCCAGTGACGAGGCAGACACAGGGGAGCAAAGGCTGTAATGCATTTGGTTAGGGAGACAGAATATTCAGATAAATCAGAGCGCAGCAGCTCCCAGAACTTCACTCGCATCAGTAGATTTCAGACACATCTTGTTTCCATTCTTCCCAGTCCTCTTCCTCTCATCTAGACTCTGGCTGCGAATAATTCCAGGTGGAGAGAACAGTCGTTGCTTAAGGCCGTCTTTTGGCCTGAGGGTTCGGGGTTTGTTGATATTTGTCGGTTACTATGACTTCTTTTTTTTCCCCCCTCAATTGCATCAAACCCTTAAAACATGGTGGTAAGTGAGCGATATGCATGCTTTTGGAGTTTGTTTAATCTCCGCTTCAGTCTATACAATGCACAGTTCATGATGTTAACACTTCAAGTTTACTTCATTCACTTTCACAACTAATTTGGATTTCAGTTTGCTGTTTAACCCTCATTTACTTTGATTTTTGTACCTTTTTCTGTAGTTCTGTTTTTTTCCCTCTCTCCTGATTTCCCTTTTAGGGGTCAAATTGTTGCTTTGTCTGACCTGTGAAGGGAGAGTGGTGCTGCAGGTAGTGATTCAGTCTAGGAAAGTGAAGATAGGAGGCTCTTTTCTTTGTTCCTTGTAAATGTGAAAGTGGATTTGGAGGAAGACATGAAGGGGGAGATCTTAAGCTGTAGGCACTACTGTGAATAGCAGCTGCTCCCACTTGCTGGCATGACAGCTACACCAGAACCACTTTCGCTAAAACCCCTACAATGCGGCCTTTTGCACGTTTGTTAGCTTGTTGGGCTGAAAAATGATGTTGCTGGTCAGACACCAGGGAATATGCCCACACCACCAAAGGAAAGAAAAACTTGTGGCGTGAAGCGCTTGGGTTGGTGCTGCCAGCATCATGCTTTGAAAAGATTAGCCTGGCCATCGCGATTCACCCCTGCCCTGCCCTTCCTTTAATGGTGGGAGTAGTTTGTTGGTATTCTTGAATCAGCTGTCTTGCTTTAGAATTTTGTGTTTTCAGGTGCACAGCCAGAGCACTAAAAATATTCTAAGTTTGCTACTGTCTCTTTTCCTTTAAGTCCCCGAAGTGCTTATTAGTTCCTAGCATGTAGCTGAGCTGGCTTGGCTGGGATGCTGAGAGCATTAGGGGTTGTGCTGAGGAAGGATTAGGTTGGGTTTGTGTGTCTTAGTAACTGAAATGTCTATACACACAGATGTCTTGGGTGTCCTTAAGTCTTAGTTTGTTCTCTGTACCTGTTTGATAGTGAACTGATGTTAGTCATAGACTCCTGTGGACACTGGTGTGTTGCTAGCCGGGCTGATAAACTGTTGGTTTGTGGTTGGTTCTTTTTTCTTTTCTTTTCTTTCTTTCTTTCTTTTTTTTTTTTTTTTTTTTTGAAATATTTTTTTGCTCCAGTCACTGTGTGTGCTGGCGGTGGCTTTGCCTCTCCGTTGCCTCGAAGGAACAGGTGGAGCAATGTCTCCTTCTGACAGACATTACTCCTGACGTGTGCTCCTGCAGATGCCTACACTGAGACTGTAATCTCATAACTGCTTCATGTGCACTAAGCCCCCTTGTGGAATCCTGCTGAGAGTTTTTCTAGAAGCCTTCAGTGAAATCAAACTCTTGAATCATTTCTTCCACCTGACTTATAAAACGAGAAGGATTTAAGAGCACTTACTTGTTCTTTTCCCTTTGTGGGTCTTTAAAAAAAAAAAAATCTAAGTCTATCCCTGCTTAAAGGGGACCCCAACTTGCCCTTAGTTGAAACAGGAAAGAAAAACTTACAAATTAGAGTCATAAAATACCAATTTTAAGAAGGCTTCTAAAACTCAGATAGAAGCATTTCAATTAAAACAATCAATCTCATGGCTCATCTAGGTTTGGGTTCTGGTTTTGGCCAGGACATTGGAATGAGCCTGTATAGTTATCTAACGTTCTTTTCTAGAGGGCTGTCACCACTCAGCTTTCCCTGGTGTGTCGCAGAACAGACTCTGGTATGCAGAGTACAGCCGCGCACGGCTGGCATAGTGTAGGTTGAACAGTCGAGGCTTCCTCTTTCTCAGTCACATTCTCCAAACTAAAGAGTCTCCCAAAGATTACAAAATGGCGAGAAAAAAAGCAGTATTTTTGGGGGAAGTGAGGATGTGTGGTTAAATGTATAGAATACACATTCCTCTGCACTGTAGGATTGAACCAGAACTGTGCATGCATTCACCACAAGAAAACAAACAGCAGGATTTTACAACTGAAATGTTGGTTTGTCTTCTCATCTATTTAAGAGTGAACCACTGGAACTTGGGGACAAGATGAATATAATATTGCAGCCTCTCTGTCCGCTACAGTTGCAGTTTTTCATGACAAGCATTCAAAGTGTTAACTAAAACCATTGAAACAACATACCTGCCATTAAAAACTTGAACCTAGAAATAATAACTCCATGAGTGTTTTGCACCTCCAGATGGAATGGCCTTGAATCAGTGCTATGAATAGCCATGTTTGCCACTTGCCGTTTGCTGTTTTGTCAATCCTTATGCAGAATCTCACGATTTTCTCCTTTCTTCTCTGTCTCTCAATGGATTACTAAAAAACTGAACACCTGTGTAGATGACGAACCAGCTGGGCCAATGTAAGTATGTTATTGCACATTGATTCAGTCTTGTGTTATTTGTATTTGCAGTTTATTGACGAGTAGCTAAGATTGGAGGGAAGACAGTGAGTGGAAATGAACACTGCAGTGTAGACTGCAGGGAACTGACTGGTGGCCATTTTGATTCCCAGGACAAGCTGTACAGTTTTGTTCTTATTGGCAAAATAAAATGGAATACTATGCCAAAAAATAATTGCACATTCCTTATGCTTTAAGTTGATATGCGAGAAAACGGCTAGTATGAGAGCTTCAGGTTGTGTTAAAGTCAATTTCAAGATGGACTGTAACATGAATAATCTGGTTCCATCAGCAGTTGTTGATTTCAAGAGATGGAGCTGCAAATTTGGAATCAATCCAAGATTAGAATTTCCCAGAGTTGGGGACCTAAGGGTGGAGAGGGAGGCAAACACCCAAATTAGTTATGTACCAGAGGGGCACAACAGTGCTTTCTGTGTGTAATTGTCTTTCATCATTTGAGATCAGTAGGAAAAACTCTCACTTTTTTAGTAATTATGGCTCATAATCAAGAGAAAATAATACCTGTATATCATCTGCCTTGGGAGTCAAAGGACCTATTAAGAGGTATGTAGGCACTTTGTACAGGGAATATCTATATGCACAATAAAATCTCTACACCAGGGATGGCAGTAAGTGAAAGAGTCCCTGTATTTCCATGTGTTATACTTTGAAAAGCTGCTGATGTGAGTTTAACTCTTACAATGCAATTTTCCCTCCAAAGGAAAACCAACTCTACCAACAATCACAAAGATAAAAACTTGCGCCAGAGAAACACAAATTAAATACTGCTTATAATGTAAGTATGGTTTTCTATAAGTTTCAAAAATCATAATCAAATGAATGTGCCTCTCTGTTGACCTTGCTACAAACCCTTTAATAGTTACTTGTGAGATCTTTTATTTCAGAGCAGCAGATACTCTGTCCAGTTAGCAGCTGGAAGAGTTTTCAGCTGTTTCTCATTTATATAAATGCCTTTTCAGAACATGTATATGGTGTTTCAAAATACTTTGCACCATTATTTATTAGTCATCGTTTTAAGCAGGTTATACCCAGAGGCCAGTTGGTCCCAGTTTGCTTCTGCGGGCAAGGCAAGAACGGTGGCCAGGCATAGCCAGGCCGGAGTGCCGGTCTGTGAGGCACATGGAGATCAGTGATTCACCCCACATCCCTGAGCATGCTGTTTGAACCAAAGCTTGATTTCATGTAGCTCCTGTGTAGTCCTGTGTGAGGGATGGTATTTCCTTTTAATGTCCAAATATTCTTTTTGCAGGTCTTTAGGTTCCTAAAACTGGGGGCAACCGACCTGCTAAATTTTCTGCTTGGACCTCTTTGGTTCTCTCCCCTTTCAAGTGAGCGCCACCACCACGACTGTCTAAAGCATGCCTTATTTAGCCTCTCCTGTAAGGGTGACCTCGCCAGGTACATTTTAAACAATGCTTCAGTGTAGAAGGTGTAAACTATTTGGGGCTTGATGTGTTGTGAATGTTGCTTTTGTTTTTTTCTTTCTTCCTTCCTCCTCTGGTAAAATATTTAAATAGAAGTGAAAAGGTCCTCTGAGGATCAGATCATGCATGCGCCATTTTTTACTTACTGCAGCTGTTAATTGGCAAAGCTCTAAAATGCACTGCTGCCATCTAGTGATACATTTTTGTAAAGTACAGCAAAATCTACAGATATATACAGTATATAAATATATATATATATATTTATATTTTTGGGGTGGGAGAAATCCAAAATAAAATAAATGCTTGTTTCATTTTTAAGCTGCTGATATTTGTTCCTTACTGTATGTTGTCAGATGAGGAAATTGTGCAGTTCTGGTACATAAAGATGAGTAATATAAACTGAAATCTGTAATTTTAAGGGCTTAACCTACGACTTTGATAAGCTGGAACAGTCCACTGAATGGATATAATGAATTGCAGTATATATATGTATGATTGCTTTCTAAGTGATTTTTTTCTTTTAAGTCATGTAAATTCTTAAATCCTTTTGCACTGATGTGTTGAACCTTACTTACTGTACATTCAATTAAGGCAAACTTTTATAATTTGCCTTTTGTTTTCAATGACCTTGAAATGTTATAGCATGGTATTCTATGCAACTAGTTATACTTTGGGATTGACACACTGTATTTTTTCACATTGATTTGAGTGTAGATTTTCTTGCCCAGCAGGGTTCTCACGCGGTGTGTAACCGTAGCTGCATGTACGTGTGTTTTGTGTAATTGTTGAAGTGCAATGATGTATAAAAAAGTGGATTCACCTGTTTTTAAAAATAAAACATTGATAAAGGTGTTTGGAATAATGCTTTTTATTCTGGCATCTTTAATCTTAGGAAGAAGCGGTTTTCTAAAATTTTCAAGTTCTTTAGTTCTAAGTGTACACTGAGTGTTACTTTCTCAACCCTGTCAGCTTTTTTAGTTCCTTTTCCACCTCTTCCACAAATGCTGGGAAATTCTGATCCATGAGGCACAACCGTAGAAAGGGGCCTAACTCTTCCACATTCCATGCAGACTGTTGATAGACAAGGGGGAGCTCCTCAGATGCCAGGATAGACTGTGGGGATTTCAGAAGAATAGTTTACTAGAGATTACAAGTGAAAGCAACACCCTGAGTACTAGAACAGCATTGCCTTAAGGAAGATTAGGGAAACATACACCAAAAATTAGTGTTAATTAGCTCTACAGGGGTCCTTTACATAAAATGTTTCTAAATAAATACAGGAAGTGAGATACACTTGAAATACTTAAGGATGTTTAGTAACAAAATGACTTGCAAAGTCATGATCTGATCCCATTTTAATGACGAATACTGAGCTGCTAAGAAACCTGGCCATGAATGAAACTCCACTAACTTATTCCAGTCACCTGGAATGGGCTTGAAAGCAGGAACTGGGTTCTTTATTACATGCTTTAAGAGGCTACAAACTGGGGCCTCCCCCGGTGGCGCAGCGGTTGCGTGCTGGGTTGCGAAGCTGCCTGCAGCCTCCGCAGCGCCGGTTCGATCCCCGGGTAAGCCGCCGGAAGCCACCGGAAGCCTCTGCAGCGCCGGTTCGATCCCCGGGAAGCTGCCTGCAGCCTCTGCAGCGCCAGTTCGATCCCCCGGCCACCAGCAAGGATCTCACGTGGTGAGACACACCCCTCCTGCTGTGCCCACTGCTTCCCCCCAGCAGTGTACTTCAATACATCTGTCTGTTCTGCTCACCACTCTCTGGTGAATCCTCTCACCCCCTCCCCCTCTGGCCCACACCCCAGCTCCCCCATGCAAAAATAAAAAAAAGGCACAAACTGATCAACAGGACAGTTAGGTCACATCTTTTTCTGGCCCTATCCATGAAACTTGATAAATACAGAGAGTAACAATCATCACCACAATCTAGACACCAAGCTTTCTGTCACTCCCCAGAAAATTCCCTGATGCTACCCATAACCCCTGGCAACTACTGACTGGTTATCCATACTTTATAGTTTCGCCTACAGAATGTCATATAAATGAAATCTTAATGACATTAATTTTTCACATGCTTATTTGCCATCTGTATGTTTCTGGCCACAAAGTATTTTGAAACCAGTTGAGTAAGTTGCCAGTATTAAGAAAGTTCTAGTAAAAGTCTGACTGTGCTTGGCAATTTGGAAGATCTGACAACACTGGATGCACAGTCCAGCTCTGTGGAGGTCTAACCTACCTTTGGTGCTTTGACCCAGTCTTTCTCTTCACATGAATTTTCATTCTGTAGGTGGCTTTATACCCTTTCCATGTATGGTCTGGTTTACTGCATTTGGATACAACTGATAAATCTCTAGGAACTATCTATAATATAGAAGTTTACTTTTCTAAATTCAAACAAGCTGTCCAGATTCTTCCTAAAGTTACAAAGAAGACAATGAACAGGGAGCCCTGTTCTCCAGCGAGAACCACTGTTGAAATGTCAGTGTATCGCGTTCCAAACATATAATTTCAAAAACCACGCCACACGCTGCTTTGTACACTTTTTAGAAACTTAAACTATACTATCTTTACATACCGAGATAAGAATTGACATCATTTCAAATTGACTGCATCTTTACCCCTCTGTGATTCTATCACTTTAACCATGCGAGTATTCTATTAGTGAACATTTATATTGTTTACAGTTTGCTTAATAACAGTGAAGAACATCTTTGTATGTTTGTGTAGTTAAAACAGAATTATAGATAAGATCACTGAATTTGATAAGTATCACCAAATTGCTCCCTCCAAAGTTTTACCAACTATGTTCATAGTGTGTCCAGAAGGTTAGAGCAAGTAAGTTAACACATCTGAACTCTCAATCTGGTGGGTTTTTTTTTTTTTTTGTGAACATAGTTCTTGTATACTATGTAAACTGGACTAAGGTACACCTTCTCTAGTGTCCTTAGCCTCTGACTCAATTAGCCTGTCATGCCTGTGCCTCATACTGGGCAGTATGAGGTCTGCCCTGCTGCTGAACAGACAGACATTCTCATTTTGTCATAGTTGCTTGGTTATGGAAAGAGACAGATATGAATTCTTAAGTCTTCTTACCTCTTAATTTTTTATCTATATTTATGTCCACTTATTTTGAGATAGTGATAAGCCAGATGGAGAAAACTCCCAAAGTTCTTTTGCATACTTTTGTTAGCACAGTTTAATACATGCTATAAAATGAAAATTTATCCTTGAATATTGATGAACTCCCAAGTAAAATTTCGCAGAAGGCCCAAGCTGTTTGTCTGACACAGTGGGAACATGATGAGGATGGGATAGTCCTCAAGGAGCTCCCAGCACAGTGAACATCAAGTGGCACTGAGTTTGAATGAAAAGGGTTTCGCAGGATTTTTTGGTAATAGAAAATTGCAAGTGGGGAGCAAATGTCAGAGAGTAAGTCTACGGTAACAGAGTTGAATCCTCCTGGTTTCTACACATTATTAGTTGCGATCTCAGCAATGAAAATTTGCCCCACTGGAAAACACTGTTGCTCTGACTCCACGCTTGGTATTTATAGAGTGGCTTGTTGACATTTTTACAAGACACTGGGAAAGTGTCTTTATTAAAGTGTCTTTATTAAAGTGTCTTTATTAAAGACTAAATTCTTTATTATACACATTTAAAGACTAACTCTACACCACTCTTCCCCTTACAAGAACAGCTCTTCAGTATGTGCCACCATGTCTAACATGGCAGGGGTATAAGGAAATGGTTTGTCCGTTGCCATCCGGTATAGTAAAACATTAGGTTACCATTCTAAAACAAGGGAGTGTAAATTCAGGAATATAAATTCTTTGGGATACTGATGTTTATGAAAAGAAAACACAGAAATAGCCTCTACCTGCGCTAACCAGGTTACTGAGGTCCTTGCTCCTGCAGTGCTTGTTCTGGCTGGTACAGACTCCTGCTCTGAGGTTTGGTGTGTCTGCAGTGAGACATGTCATCAAAGGATTAGCTGAACATAATCATAAACACCACAGACCATTACAGAAGGGAAACATGGCACTCGTAGTCAAGGCAGAAGAGAGGACCAGTAAAGGCAGACAACAGAATCACTGACTGTGTGGTCTGTCCTGGCTTATGCTGGGCTCTTACTGGGTTTAACTCAGAAGAGGCACCAAGAGAGTTCACTTCTGAGCCTGTTGGGCGGTACCTACTATCCCCAGTGTCTGGCCTGCAGTGCGTTGTGTCTTCAGAGCCCTGGCCCAGGACCACAGCCACAACTCAGAGCGGTGGATATCGCTCAGTTTCTGAGCATCATGATTTGTCACCTAAATGTTACTACTTTAATTGCAGAGAAACAAAGTGCAATAGAACCATGTTTTCAGTAAAAATTTTAAAGATCTTCTTTTAGAATCCTGAGGGAATAAGTTCTTCTGTAAGTAAAATCCCTACGTTATCTCCATTCAACTATGATTATGCCTGCTACAGGGGTGATGCAGGGAAGGGAGCCAGAGGTCTGGCCCTAAAGAAGCTGCAGCCCAATGAGAACTGAACCAGTGAAATGACCACGGTGCACCCAGGCTGTGCTGCGATGGAAATGACAAAATGTGTTCAGGTTCAGAGCGTAGGGAGTGGCGTGCAGGAGAGCACCAGAGTCCACACTGTGAGGAACTGTTCTTGAACAGAAGACAACACATTTTTCAGGCACATACAATGAGCGAGGTGTACAAGGAGACATGGAGGCATAAAGACTGCAAGTCCTGCTTCTACTTGAAAGCATGAGAATTTCTGAGCACCTACACCCCTTTTCCTAACCGCATGGCTGCATGTCTGCTCTGTTCTGTATTCCTGTGGCTGTCACTTGATCTCCACACAGGCAGTCCCACAGAGGCGTGAGCTGGTGGTGTCACTGAGGAAGGAAGCAAGGCTCTCCTGGGAGGGTCTCAGTTTCCCAGCAGCATGTTGTGACTGCCCGAATTCACAGAGTACTTCTGGCACCTGTGCTATATGAAAGCTGACTTTTGTAATAGGTAGATATTAGCCAAAAAAAAAAAAAAAAAAAAAAATCTAAAAGCATCAACAGGGGGGTGAGGGCAGGGAGGGAACAAAGAAGAAGGATTAAGGAAAGAGAAAGTCAATGAACTCAAAGCTTAAGGGGCTGCAATAACTCAGGAGTGCTTAGGCAAGACCCAAACTTTGGTCCAATTTCCTCATCTTATAAAAATAAACTCATGCTTTTTGTGCCTAGTGTTTCTTCCAGCTCTGACATTTGACATTTGATGCTTTCCTAGGATGCAGATCAGTACAGCTCATGCCATTTTCTTCAAACAATGGAGAAAGACATTAACCACAGTCACAGACCACAAACTATGGATAAAGTGCCTGAAGGAAGCTGGTGGGTTGGCTCCAGGAGCAGACAGACAGTTCTGCAGAGATGGGGGGGTTCTGTATACATTGCAGCTGGAGCCCTGGCTGCTTGCTACTTCTGAACTTGTGCTAAGGAGGGAAAAAGTCTACCTAGCATCTGCCTGCCAACCTCTTTCCTGTCTCTTCTGCCCCCTCTCTGTGGGGCTGGATGGCCTTAAAAGCCCTCAAGTAAGAAACACCTGCTTAAACCACGATTACTGAAATTACAAGGTTGAAGTGAAAAAATATGAGCCAGGAAATGACTCAAGGACTTGAAATAGGAAGGCATGGAATTATCTCTTTTTGCAAAAAAAAAAAAAAAAAAAAAACTATTTTAGACCAAGAAATATAGAGGTATTGGGGAAGATGACACACCTGAGTACAGGAGAACGGCAAAGGGACTGCAACTTGGCCACAGCTCATGCCACTTAAGATGGATTCTGAGAAAGGAAGCATGATACCAAGTTTGCATACAGCAGATCACAGCAAACCTGGACCTGTTCTGTCATTAGAAAGATTAGCTTGTTCCAGGCAGTGCATCAGAATGTCTGCGCCCTAACAAGCTAACCCAATGGCTTTCTCTTGTTTGCTGCTCTGCAACTTCAGACACTCCATCTCAATTATACTTGCCAGGCACTGTACTAGGTGGTTTATATACAGCATGTCAGTCTCACCATTTCACAGGTGAAATTCATTGACCTGCATGAGATCATACAAAAACTAACAGGGTCAGGATTCAAATCTTGATCCACTTTGATTCCAAAGCCTATGATTTCTGCATAGCATCATGCCGGCTCATCTACTCAGAACACCAGACTGAAAGTCCCTGACTACAGAATGCAGAAAAGGCACGGAAGTCTTTTTTCATGTCCCACTTTGAGGGTAGTTATACTTAGTTATTTGGACTCGGCCTATAAAATCAGAGACCAAAGAGACATCTTCTGACACTGTAGCTCACAACCCTTAGCTTGTGTTTGCCATTGTGTTACAATTTCAGTTTACCTCTTGGTACCTAGATCACAGCATAGCCTGATTAGGTTCCAGCCTGATATGTCTTCAATCCCTTTCTAAGGCATTCCAGACCTGGTTCCAAAATCCTGGGAACCTATTTAGGTCTTCTTGTACCCCCTGTACTGGGCATACTATCCTCTAACCTGACTTTTAACTACCTGATGAAACTTGGGGGAAGGATCTACTGGAGGGGCAAAGGATCATAAACAACAAAGTGCCTTATAATAAACCTTCCACTCATTAGTAGGGAGGGGATTCTTAAAGAAGACAGGGGAAGCTGATGAGACAAAATGTTTGAAACTAGATCCAGGGTTTTTGAGACAGCAACTTAAGTGTTAAGACAGAAAGATACAGAAAAGAACTTGGTGATGAACAGTAAAAATGAATTGTCTTGATCCAGTGAATTTAAGGGAAAGTAGGATGAAATGATGAAAGCCAAGTTTAGAAAATCATTTCTCAAAGTAGAAAATAAAAAAATCCAGCTTGAAACAGGAATTTCATCTCCAAAGAGAGGTAAATATTTCTTTGAACAGCTATTCCAAAGAAATTCTATAATATGTGCTTTTGGTAGAAAATTCTCAAACAATGAGTCAAAGTTTTGCTTACAGACTGCCTTACACTCTTCAAAATTACTGAGGGAGGGCCCTCCAACAGCTTTCATTTGAGTTATAGCTATCTAGCTGTGAAAACTGTTTAAAGTTTCACTGAAAAATAAACCCCTTCTATGTTAATATTTAAACATTTTTATGAAAATCAGCTATTTCCTAAAAATTGTAGTGATTTTTGCAAATCTCTAATGTCTAGCTTAATTTAATGAAAGATAGCTGGACTCCAACATCACTGCCACATTTAATCTGCAGACACGTTGCTTTGGGCAAAATATATGAAGAAAACCTGGCTTCATGCAAGTATGTATAGATAGAAAAGGCAAAAAATAACCTTTTCAGGTAATTGTGGATATTATTTTGGTATGCCACCAAAATTGAGAAAGTTTCTTCAAGGTTAATTGCAACATAGAATCTACAATCATAACAATAAATGTGTTCCACTGTTAGATTAAATCCATTGGTCTATCTTATACTTGGAACAGAACATTTTTGTCCATGCACGCACGATTTTGTGTGCATACACTAGTTATTTGGAAATAATGGTTCGCTGAACTATACAGAAACATTTGCCATGTAATTATACAAAAAAGGTCACGTCCATTAATAGCACCATCAGAAAAGTCTTCTGGATTAGGAAGCTGTGAAGCTCAAGGAGCAGACAGAAATTTTCCAAGATTCTAATTTTCTTTTGGAAAGCTTATTTCACCACTGTCAGTAAATACTATCCGGCCGTTGTTTTCCTGAAGTGATATGCTGCTCACTTTACTCACTGTTGTAAAACATTCACCTAGCAGCCAAATCTGAACAGCCATAGTTTGCCATTGTGCTTCCAAGTAGTAATGGTGTTCTAAGAGGAAAGAGGCTAGTTCAGCTCCAAAACGGCTGCTTTCTCCTGAGACAGCTGGCATACTTCAGGATAAGAGTGGTTCTGTTCTGTTCCTTTTTGTAGCAAGTGACTGGTGATGCACATGATGGCTGCCCTTGGTGCCTCTGCCTTGATTTGTGCTATGTAGACAGTTTTGCTTACAATGTTTTTGCCCCCTTAATGCAAATAACACAGTGAGAAGAGCAAATAATGTTCAATATTATTACAAGAATGATTTTGATTTTGTGGATCCCTGAAAAAGTCTCAGGGAGGGGTCTGTGGACTGCACTTTGAGAACTACTGTTCTATAGTGACACCCAGGATGCGGCCAGGACTCTATCCTAATCTAATTTCTAGGACAAGTAGCTATGATGAATCTTCAGGTAAAATAAGTCAGTCAACATTAACTATCTCTTAACTCACAATCCTGATGGATTTCACAAATCCCACCATGATTTTGCCCCACGCCCACCCCCCCGAAGCACTACCTAGTCTGATGGCTCCCATAGCCAACACTCTAGCCTACTTACTTCAAGCTTCAGGGGGCTGCTCTGCACACAGCCCTTCCCTGGGCCTTCACCTGCCTTCAGTGGGCCTTGATTCAGCTGGAGCTCCTGGCTGATCCCGTCAGGCACCTGCACGGTTATATACTGGGCCAGGGTCTGCACACAGCTGCAGCAATGTTCCAGTGCCTGCTCCTTTGACCCGCCACCAAACTGGACCCGGAACATGCGGCTCTTGTTCTGTTTGACAAATCAAAGGTTATCCTCAGTGACCCTTGTCCTATCACTTTACTTTTATCCACTATGGTGTCTTCAATGACTACTTCCTTTTGCCTACAGGGGTGCTAATCTGGAGAAGGAGCAGTTATCCCTAGCTTGTTTACATGGGTATAAAAAAGCCAGTAACTAGTTTTCTTCCCCCTTTTGGGAGCTGCTTCTCAAACCAAATTCACTTCCTTCTGGGAACAGACATCAGCAAAAATGAAAAAGCCTGTATTACAGAGACATGGTCATCTTACTAAGAGACAAGTGTTTTGTCTTTGGAATAAAGATTTTATAGCTGCTCATTCCTTAGGTGAAAAGCCAATGAAGGAAATACAGCATTATCCTGGATCAATAAAAATTTTCTAAACCTGAGTATACAGAAGAGCAGACCAGGTCGGTACCACACCAAACAAGCTGGTGAATTTGAAAAACATGATTGGGGAACTAGGCAGGGGCAGGTGTTCAAAACAAACGGTTCTCCTGATAATCACCTGTAGTGCCTTTCATCCTTAAATAAGACCACCACACAAACCCCAAAGGGGAACACTGCCCTTAACATGACTTAGGAATTACATCCCTTGGCAAATCAGCAATTGTGGGAAAGAGGCAATTTAAATTTTAAAAAGCCAGCAACCACATCAAACTTTATTGTATGTTTAAAAATTAAATTTGTAACAGTAAGTCCATTGTTTTAATAATTTCCAGTCTAGTCTGTTGTGCCTAGGTTAGAGGGGCCAACTTACTCAAAAGCCGCCCCAAACTGGTAGCATGTATGGTGGACCTTTGTTCAATTTCTTCTGTAGCAACTTTACAATGCTAACTTAAAATAGTAAGAATACTTTCGAAAACCCTTGTTAATCTGTTAACCCCAATTAACAAAATCCTCTGAATTCCTATAAGCAAAAATTCCTTGATTTTGCTGTCCACAATTTACACATTATTTAAATTTTCAGACAAAGTCATCAAGCAAGGCCACATATTTAGCTTACAGAAAATGCCTGGCATGGCTAAGCAATGGTAAGGCATGTTTAGGGCAGGCACTGCCACTGTTTGGTTACCTTCATTTTTAATCACTTAATCCTTTCTCAAGTAATCCATTATCACACCCTCCAACACTGAAAATATATGAAAAGGAATAAAGATCTATGTATAAAAAGGAATGTGTAAATGTAATACATAGGTCTACATTAAAATATATATACACATACCTGTATACATAACCTATGAAATATATGTTTGTATAGCAGGTTATATATTATGTATATGTATATGTTTTAAACACTTTTTTCACACAAATGTAACTTAATTTTTCAGTTAACAATAAGTATGTAAAAATAGAAGTATGCCTCCTTACTTTTAATAGCTGAGAACTATTCCTTTAACTGGCCCCCTACTGACAAACATTTCCAGACTTTTTTCCTATTATAAGCCACAAAGCTTTGATAAGCACTTTTAGACATTTATGTATCAATGTCTAAAAGTAGATCTGTCTGGCCAAACTATCTGTATCGTACATTTTACATTTTGACACAAAATACCAAACTGCTCTGGAGCTAGATGGCACCAATTTACTCCCACCGAGAGGCTATGTTCCCATTTTCCCTATATCTTCCAACACTGGAGATTCTTATTCTTTTCAAGTTTTGTTAACCTACTAGTTTTAACAGATTTTTATTTTAAAATTTCAAATTTGACTAAAGAGAGGTTGAATATTTTTTCTTATGTATATCGGTCATTTGTATTTTTCCTTTTGGGTACTGCTGCCTAATGAGCTATTTCTAATCCATCCTACTTTAGACTTTACATGAAGATATTTATATGAAATACCTTTATGTTAGCATTTCTATTATGATTCCGTAATTATCTAACCTCAAAAGCAATCTAGTCGCTTTTGAGAAGTAATCACATTAAAAATTGTCCCTCACAGCTTGATGAAAAGGTTTATGCAGGAATGATATTTGAATTCCATACAGGGCAAAGACCTCAGAGCCCCGTTCTAAGTCCCAAAGCCTCTACGTGCACACAGGAAGAGGTTTCTTTAGAATGTAGTTCTGAGAAATGACAGGTTAGTTGTATGTCTGATAGCCTAACTGTAGTCTTACTCAGTGTTTGCTGCTGTGCAATTCTCAGATAGAATTTGAGCTTACCATCAGTGCATGTGGACCAAGATAAAGCCCAGGTTCATCAGGAAAAGTCTGAAAATGAGTTACATCTTTATTCCACATCTTCAATGGCATGAGGTACCACAACGGAAAACCTATTCCTGGGCTAACAAAAAGGACTATTACATTGAAAATCTCACTGAGATTCACTTTTATGCCATTATTAAAAGTCAGAAAGAGCTGCTTGTTGTGCAATGAAAAGTTTCAAGTGTATACTAATGTAACAGCGTGGTCTCCAGGAAAAGGGGAAGCTCCAGGTCCCCTCCCTGACCCACCCAAGGGAGGGTGGAGCTGAACAGGTTGGAGAAGAAGCTGGAGAGGGGTTGGAGGAAGGAAGGAAGCAGAATGGAGAGCAAGAAGGAGACCTGGAGGAGGCACATGGAGCAGAGAGACGTGAAGAAGCTGCACTTGTTTCTTGGTTCTGGCCTGGTCGAAACTGATGTGGGTGAGAGACCCGTGGGGAGACTGACAATGGCTGCATTTATCTTGATTTTGCACTTTTCCTCCCAGGCTTGTCTGACACTTTCTGACCCTTTTCTATGGATCCCTGCTGGAAGGTTCTTTAGACTTGTGGCAGGCTTTTGGGCCTTGCTTTGGGCCACATTTACCTACGAGGGGATGGGTAACTTTGATTTGGAAACAATATTCTTTGTCTTCTCTGTATTACACACTAATTGCATTAGAGTTCCTTCCATCAAAGTTCTTGTATGTTTTGTCTTGATGTGCTAGATGGCAGAACCTATTTAGAGCAGGCAGGTTTGGGGGTTCTGGGGTGCCCCTCTCCCTGTCCTATAACACTAACAGTCATGAACTGTCCCAAATATAGTCTCCAGTTTCTATCACGAATGAGATTTTCTCAAAATTACTATATTTTAAGTGGTGTCTTACATGTTAAATTGGTCCCACACTACTTCAAAACACTTTGAGTTATAACTAGCAGAAAATCCCCTTGAGGAAATGAAAATTAAGGATAACGGCTCATCTTGTTACACTTAATCTGGTTATGCACAAGAAGGTCAGCCTTCACCTTTGAGGAAGGGGGACCTTGGGCCCTCTGGCTGGCAGCTGGGAACAGTATCTCCCTGTGGAGGCCCCTGACCACAGGCTCTACAGCTGAGGTTACATGGTATCAGCACCTCCTGGAAAACAGGCCCAGGTAGCACTCTGCAGGAGAACAGCCATGGAGCCACTGGAGGAGGCCTCACCAGTAGGACCCCAAACAGTTTTGCCCACAACCTACACTGAATTCCTCTACTGTAGAAAAGGGGGTGAGGGGACTCATACAGAAAAAGAACTCAACCAGAGAAGGACTACATGTTTTGTTTGATTCTGTGAGGTGATAATTCAAAAGCCCAGGTCAGAAAAAAATCAACAAAAAATTCTTCAGTGAGTTGGGGTGAAAATCAAAGAGTTTATTCTTTTAACTCAAGTCCCTTCTGATGGGGAATTATATGTTTATCTAATGTTAGCCTATCAGCCAGGATCATTTTGATCAAAATTAGTGAAAAAAGAGGAAGCTTTATCTTAGAAGCAGGGAGAACTTAAACTATCTTTGGCCAAAGAGAAAAGAAAATCTTTATTACCACAGAATTTAAGTTATATTAAATTGCTGTTAAAGGAATGAGAATTTTCTCTAAAAATACTTCTTCCACTTGTTAATTTAAACAATGATGTTTGAAGAGCTTATACAACTCAACAAGAACAAAGCAAACAATCCAGTCGAAAAATGGACAGAAGAGCTAAAAAGACACTTCTCTGAAAAGGAAATGCAAATGGTCAATGGGTGTATGACAAGCAAGTTCAAGATCACATATAATCAGGGAAATGCAAATCAAAACCACAATGAGATATTGCCTCATACCAGTGAGAATGGGCCATATTAAAACTGACAACAACAAATGCTGGCAAAGATGTGGGGAAAAAAGGAGCCCTCGTACATTGCTGGTGGGAGTGCAAACTGGTCCAGCCACTATGGAAAGCTGTGTGGAGGTTCCTCAAAGTACTAATAATGGAGCTACCATATGGCTCAGCGATTCCACTCCTAGGAATTTACCCAAATGACCAAAAAAAAAAAAAAAAAAACACCAATTCAAAAGGAAACCTGCACTCCTGTTTACTGCAGCACTATTTACAATAGCTAACATATGGAAACCACCCAAATGTCCAAAAACAGATGACTGGATCAAGAAGATGTGGTACATATACACAATGGAATATTATTCAACATTCAAAAAAGATAAACTCATGCCATTTATGGCAGCATGGATGGAGGTGGAAGGGATTATGTTAAGTGAAATAAGTCAAAAGAAAAAAGGAAAATATCAGATGGTCTCATTTATATGCTGAGTATAAAGAAACCGAACAAAGGGTCAGGAAAAAGACAAAACTTGCAGGCAAACTGTAGAACTGAGGCATGCAGCAGAGGAAGTTTTCAAAATGGAAGAGGGAAGAGCACAAGGACTATGGTGATGGTTCACAGGTGATGTGGTGGTAGGAGAATTATGGGGAGTACACCCGAGGGGAGAAATCATATATTGTTCAAAAATGATCAACAATGTAAGAAAATTAAAAATAATGATGTTTGTTACAGAATACTTGTAATTAAAATTTTCCATGGAAGAAGCTTCTGATAGCTTTTTGCTGCTTCAATATATCAAGTGAATAATAAAAGGAGGGAAAAAAAACAATGATATTGATAAGCTGTCGAAAAGCTTTTGATAAAATTTAATATGTAAACCTGATAAAAGTATCAGTTAAGAATGTCTCCCCTATATGGTAAAGCATACCCAATCAACAGTAAAAGATGTTCTTTAATGTCTAAATACTAGTTCTCATTCAAGGCAGCAAGATGTCATGTAATTACCATTTAATCACTGTGTTCTGGAAGCTCTAGATTAATTCAGTAAGGTAAGAAAAGTAATTAGTACAAGCTACTGGAAATCAATAAAATCATTGCAAATTATAAAATCACCTTCTTAAAAATTAAATCATCAGTTAATAAATTTAGTAAGAAAGTTAAATTTAAATTAATTCAGAAAAAAATCCAATAATAAGCAAATAGACAGATCTTTAGGATAAAGAATACCGTTCACATAACAGCAGGCAAAAGTTCCTAATCTTAGTGTTTAAAAAATCCATATTTAGCATACATGATATATACACAAATATATGACATTATATAGCTACAAAAATAAACATAAATATATTTCTATGAAATAAATATATGTGTATATATATTTAATGTCCAAATACTCTGAAGAGGAAAATTAGGCAAAAGCAACAGACAGTGGCTCATAGAAGAAATATAGCTAGCAAATAGAAAAACTGTCCATTTTCATTTAGTTATCAAAGAAATGCAAATTAAAGGAAAATACTCACTTTTTCCTATCAAGTTGGAAACTACTATTAGTGTAAGTCAAATAGTCCTAGCATACGTAAAATGAAAATAGAGGGCCTTGAATTTCTGAGCAAGCACTCCACACCCCTTTGACATTCTGGTGAAGCCAGTGGACCCCTTCCAAGAACAAAGTTTGTTTTTTTTTTTAATTATAATAAATTTTATTTTTATATTCCCCATACAATTTCAACTCCCCATTTTGACCCCAATCCCTCCCCTCTCTCCACCCACCCCCCCAAAAGTGTCTCTGGTTCATAGATTTTTGTTGATTTTGATTTTCACTTTCTTATAGTTATTCATTTTCCTGGTCCCTTATTTAAGTTTTCTAGATTCCTGCTATGAGTGAGACCATCCAGTATTTTTCTTTTTCTTTCTGGCTTATTTCGCTGAGCATGATCCCTTCCAGCGCCATTCATGTTGCTGCAAATTGCATGTGTTTATCTTTTTTGAATGCTGAGTAATATTCCATGGTATATATGTACCACATCTTCTTGATCCAGTCATCTATTTTTGGGCATTTGGGCTGTTTCCAAAGCTTAGCTATTGTAAATAGTGCTGCTATAAACATAGGGGTGCAGGTGCTCTTTGGAATTGATGTTTCTGTGTCCTTTTTTAATCACATAAAATACACACTAAGATTACAAAGGAAGTCAATTATGTTGAAATCATTTATTACAACATTAATACCCTAATTAGTGAACTAATAATACATCTGATTCTTTACTAAGGTTCTCAAAGAGTGCTAGGAGGACTAATAACCACCATATTTTGAGGTGATGAGAACAAATGACATATGAGAACTCTGAAACTATGGTGCTGTGATGTGAAAAAATCTGGTTTCTAGTAGCCTCTTTGAAAAGTAGTGCAGAGGTTCCTCAAAAGACTAAGGGTGGATCTGCCATAAGACTCAATAATTCTACGCCTAGGTATCTACCAAAGGATACAAAAAACACTAATTAGAAGGGAAAGCTGCACTCCTATATTTACTGCAGCACTATTTACAATAGCTAAGATATGGAAACACCCTAAATGCCCCAAGACAGATGAATGGATGACTATGCGGTATATGTACACAATGGAATACCACTCAGCTATCAAAAAAAAAAAAGAAAAACTCATGACATTTATGGCAACATGAATGGAGCTGGATGGGATTATGCTAATAAGCCAGAAGAAGAAAGATAAAATACTGGGTGGTTTCACTTATATTTTGAATATAGAGAAACCAAAGGATTGGACAAAGACAAACTTTAAAATCAACCCTTGAAAGCTGCCCATAGATAAGAGGCAACTAGGAGGGGGGAGAGAGGGGAGAGGTAAGAATGGAGTGAGGGAGGAGAGCACAGTGGACAGTGGCGGAAGACTGTGGGTGCTTTGCTAGTGGGAGAACTACGGTGACCACACCTGAGGGGAGAAATCCGAAACTGTCAAAAAATTAACAGGCTATAAAACAATGGTACTGCATTAAAAAAATTAATGTATACCCCACCCATCCCTCCAAAGATAGTCTGATTTCTACTGGTAAAAAGGCATACTACTACTGGGATCTGTTGCTGACATTCATAACTGAAGGAAATGATAAATTTCAATTTTAGGTCAATGAAAATCTATTCAGGACCTCCCCGGTGGCGCAGCAGTTGAGCGCTGGGTTGCGAAGCTGCCCACAGCCTCCGCAGTGCCGGTTCGATCCCCGGCTGCTCCCCGGCCACCAGAGGAGGGTCCCGCATGGCGTGCAGACCTCTCCTGCCGCCCGCTGCTCCCCTCAGCAGTGTACTTCGGTCCTTCTGCCTGCTCTGCTCCCCGCTCTGGCTCTGGTGAATTCTCTCACCCTCCCATGCTTCTGACTCTACCCAGTGCTTGTATAAATAAATATAAATCTTTGGAAAAAAAAAAGAAAATCTATTCAAGTTCATGGAAACTGAATTCTTGGAAGACCCTTTGGAGGGTGTGTGGACACCAGGTTAAGACCCCTTCATTAGATGTTGTTGAAGACTTTTTCCAACTCTCAGTCTATGAGCCCATTAAAAATTAGGATCTTTCACCTAAATTTCAGCATTATTTACTCAGTGAATGTTAACAGATTGGATTTTATAGTTATTTATGAAAGAAAATAATCCAAGTGATTAGACTGCATGTTTCTTTGATGAGGAACATTCTTTACCTTTAGTACGACAGAAAAAAAATAAAAAGCCACGTTCAATGAAGCATTCAAAAATACATACCTTATAAACATCTAAATGGCAAGACAAACAATGATGCCCTCCTCCCATCCCAACAGGTACTTAGGGGACAGGGAATGGTTGTGCAGCTCCATCAGGCAGGTATTGACAGAACAATTAAAGCGCTGGCTCTTCAGCAGAGTAGCGTACTAACCAGGCTTCTACCCCCCTACTGTCCTTGATCCATGTTCTGCTTACATAGCAGGGACTTTCCTTAAACGTGTATTCTTCCCAGTACCATTTCACTTGCAAAGAGAAGCTCCTGCACTCTCCACTCACAGATGATCGTTTGCTTTGAAACACTTGGCCACCCAGCATCTTACCTTTATCGTTGTTCCAAACAACAGACAGTCCACGCGTCTTACAATCTTCAACCAGTCCTTGCTACCAACCAGTGAAAACCCTTCCTGAAATGAAATTATTAAGCAAAATTAGACTAAAAGCAAAAAGGACATGAAGAATAGTTGTGGTGCAGCTGCTTCCTATTAGAACGCTATATATTTATTTATCCTGTAACTTAAGCACAGCAGAAATGACTCAACATCACCAATTACCAAGGATGCTTCCTCTTCTGATAAGGCCTCATGCTCTGGTGCTATTCCTGCATGATCAACAGTAATATTCTTAGCTTTTATTCCCCTTCTTAATCTTTCCATATTAAAAATCAGTAAAATATTAAAGACACCAAATATCTGTGGTCAGATATGCTGTGAAATGCGTTTCCATTCTTCAGGATTTGCCAAAATACTACCTTACATTCCTGAAAGACAAGGGTTTCTATTATACTGATTTGCTAGCTTATCTGACACATTGCTAACTACATAGTGATGATTCTTTCCATGAGATTTTTTTTCCAGATTCCTATGAATGGAATCTGCATAAATGGAAAAATGGAAGCAATCTGTTTGGAGATGTGGAATGTTGAGTTCTTCATTTCTATCTAAAAAAAAAAAAAAAAACAAACAAAAAAGGGCAAAGAGGGCAGTAGAGGGCACACAAGTCTCAAAAGAGGGACAACAGATGGCTCCTAAAGGTGGAAAGATGAGTGTTTTCTCCAGCTTATTAATAAGCAGAACTGACTAATGATTATGGCAGTTCATAAGCTCCAATTATGTTGTCAGTGGACTTCCTCCATCAAGCAGCCCATTACGTTAGAATGTGTTTAACATTTAGTAAAATAAATTCAGGGAATGGATAAGCTGACAGTAGCTCACCCCGCATGCCCACTGCCTTTCTACCTTGCAGAGTTCATCCAGCAGTTAGGGAAGGCTACTAGAGGAATCTGGAAAATCTCCAATGCTTAGAAAACAAAGGAAAATGGCTCTTATCTACTTGAACTCTCACACAATCTCCTTTCCTAATTATGAATATGATGAAAATTGCAACTTCCATAGAAATTTACAGCCCAGGAAAACTATGGGTTAATTATTTGTTACTTTAAATAAAAAAAAAGGAAAAAAAAGGTCAGTTCTACAATGTTGAGTCTTAAATGTTTTATCATCAATAGATTTCTTTTGTTTTATTTATTTATTTATTTATTTTGTGGGACCCTCGCCGGTGGCCAGCGATCGAACTGGCGCTGCAGAGGCTTGCGAGCAGCCTCGCAACCCTGCGCCACCAGGGGAGGCCCTCTTTCTTTTGTTTTTAAATGGAAAAAGGTAAACCATTTGTGATTTCTTTGTAAAACTCTCAGAATCAGCAAAAAGAAATATGTTCATAATTCTATCTAAGAAATATAGATTTTTTTTGTAGGAGAAACTGGCACTCACATTAATACAGGCTGTCAATGAAAACTGGTACAGTTGTCATGGTGGGGGGACAATGTAGCAATATCAAAATTACGGGTGCATTTACTCTAACCCACTAACTCCAATACTAGAAATTCATTTACTGCTCAACCTGCACACATATGAAAAGATGCGTGGACAAAGTTAAGCATTTCTGCATTTTTAATAGTAGGAGCCTCAAAACAACTCAAGTGCGCGCGAATAGTGGACTGGTTAAATAAAGTATGTACTATGCACTGGAATGCTCTACAACTAAAAAAAATGGGTGCTCTACCTCAGTGCTATCCAGTGGAAATCGAATCTGAGTCACATACGTAATTTAAATGTTCCCCACAGTTTAAAAACAAAAGTTGATCAAATTTTAACATTTCATTTAACTCAATAGACCAAAACCACCAGTATTTCAACATGTAAACAATGTAAAACAGTAAGATACCTTACATTTTTTTGATACTAAGCCTTGGAAACCCAGTCTGTGTTTATACATAGCACCTAAATTTGGATGCTGTATTTCCAAATGTTAAACTGAAATGTAGTCTTAGCAAAACAAAGTTAACTTTAATGGGAAATGTTTTTATACTGCTTCCACTTTAAAATCTAAATATAAATTATATGAATTTAAAATTCTGGTTTGTAGCTGTACCAGTTATATTTTAAGTGCTCTGCAGCTACAAGGCCGTGTGGCTACCTTCTCGGATGTTCTGTTTGTGCTGTTCTCTAAGGAATACTGCTCAGCAAAAAAAACAAGTTACAGAATAATGTTCACTATAAGTCACCTTTTGTGCAAGGAAAGAGGGAACATACAATATGTATTCAATATGTATTCTTTTATTTGCTTGTATTTCATTGTAAAAGCTGAAAGGATTAGTACATAAGAGACTAATTAAAAAAAAGTTGCAGGGAATGGGAGTGAACAGTGCAAGTGGGGTCAAGGCTGGGAGTAAGTTTTTTTTTTTACTAATGCTATTTTATATTGCTTTAATTTTTGAACCACATAAATCTCTTATACATTATTATGTTTCTTTCAACAGTGGCTGGGATTTCTTTTTCTCTCATTAATCCTAGAATGAAACTAGATTGAATGAAATGATGTCATTTAAGGACCTGGTTTCATTATATGTCATTTTTGTTTAGAGCTAGTTTCCAAGAACCTATAGATAATGTTCAGTGAGGATTTACTGTATATGGAAATGTTTGTGCAAACAAGGCTATCCATTCAAGTGTGGCATATGTCGACTGCATGGATGAGGGCCAGAAAGAAATGATCAGTTTTATGGGAAACTCTACTATGTTTACAACTTTGTAGTAAGTCTAAAGCTACTATAAAATTAATTTTTAAAAAAGAAAATTGGTCAGGTCCTGACTCTGGCCTGATCTACCCATTCCTATCTCTAGTCCAGTCTGGGTGTCATGGGACAGCTCTATCAGGCTACCCCACAGACCCCTCCATAGAAATGTGGACGGCCGTTCTCCACATATGCTGTCACTGCATGTGCAGCCTCAGTGAACTGACTGCACTCCAGTAGTCAACCTGCTATCATGCTCATCTCCTTCTTTATTTTCCTCACTCCTCCCGCAATACCAGTCAATGCCCGATGCTCAGAGAACCTTTCCCAAAAAGCTTTTTCATCTGACCATACTCCCCATTTACAATGACACTGCCACATCAAGCTGCCTCCAGTTCTCCCCAGAATTACTTCCGTATCCTCCCAACTGGTCCTTTTTCTTCCAGGTCCAATTTTGCAATCCATCTTTGCTATTGCCAGAGTAATCTTCGTAGAATAAAATTTGATCAAGCCATTCCCCTTCAATGCCACAATCCCATTATTTTCCATCCCTTTCCACTTCTGCTGCAAAAAATAACTGTAAGATTAAGTCCAAACTCCTCAGTGCATATAAATTTCTAACATCGGCCTTCTGCTTTTCATGCGTGATTATTTTGAACTCTCGTATAAACTTTCCATTGGAGTTATACCATACTCCCTGCAGTTCTGAAAATGCGCCATGCTACTCACACCTTGATTTCATCATACAGTTCATTTCTGAAATGGTCTTCCTTTTTCAACTTATCTGTTAAAACCTAGCTTTACCTCAACCATATCCCACAGGGCAAAGTTGGCTGACCTCTAGAGTTTCATGCTTTCTCAGCATCTTATGGTCATAGAATATAATAACTAGTTACATTTCTTTCTCCCTGATTAGAATGTGGAGGATAAGGCAGGACAAGGCAGGTTCTAGGATGGGCCTTATTACCCCTTGATTCCATGTCACACTCTTGAGCAGATGCTACTGAATCAGCCCCAGCAGCGATTCTGTTTAGAACTCTGTGGAGTGGCTGTGCTGGGCAAGGGTGTGACCTTCCTCCCTGACAGTAACCTCTTGTTGAGCCACTTCTTGGCTCTTTTTCCATTTGTCTAAACCATTTTGCTTAGAACTTCATGCAGCTCTTCTCTCTGCCTCATTCCCCTGACTTTTTGCATAAATACCTCTAGCCCTTGTTCATTTCACACCTAATTTCAATGGGGCCACCCTTTATACAATTTTCCCTAGTCCTCTTTTCTTTCATAGCATTTGCCACAGTTTGTATATGTGTCTTTAGTGATTATTTGCTTAATATCTGTTTTTCACTAGACTAAGCCTCCTGCAAGCAGCAGCTTTTTTTTTTTTTTTTTGCTCACTAGTATATAAAAATCACCTATTATAATGTTTGACACTATAAGATGCTTCAATAAGTTTTACTGAGTAAATGAAAGAATAAAACTAACAGAATATTTCATATTAGTATCATTTGGGAGCAATGAGGTCTGCAAATTACCCGTCAAAAAATGTAGAACATCCTGCTTTTATGTCACTTACACTAATCATGTTCAAGATTCAGAAAGAGCTTTTTTTTGGGGGGGGGCAGGAAAAGGAGGGATTGGGGTCAAAATAAGGGGTTGCAATTGTATGGGGAATATAAAAATAAAATTTAAAAAAAAAAGAGCTTTTTCATCCTAATGTTTTGGAAGTTAGCACAGAAGTATATGTGTCTAACTACCGGTTCTTCATATATTCCTACATTTCAATAACTGATTTGCCTACATTTGAAAAATGCATCTCTTTGAATCTCCTTTAGGACCAATCTATCTGGTGAATTCAGTGTAGCTCCACAGACAGTGGTCTGTGGTCTGTACTGACTTTCTTAGACAGTTAAGTGACTTGCTGTGTTCCCACAGCATGCTGTGTCTGCTACTGCTGAAACACGCCCTACCTCTAATTTCCTACAAGGGCCAGCCACTGTTCTCAGGGTTAAAAAGACACAATCTACCAAGGGGAGGGAGAGCACATCAGAACTACTCAGCAAGCTTCCCCCCACTCCTTCATGTTTAGGATACTGTTTCTCCACCTGGTAAAAAACTGCTGCCATAATAAGCCACTATTCATTCATAAAATTCCATCACATCCCTTGAAAGTACTGGTTGGGACTGCAAAAAAGAATGGAGTACTCTAGGAAATACGAAATTTACCATCAGCCTACAGAATAGGAGTCAACAGTGTGAAGCCGTCTAGGTTAGAAAAGAAGGGTCAGAATTTTAGAGAGAATGGTCAGTAGTGTCATGTGATACACAGGGAGGGAGCGG